AAAAAAAAAAAAAAAAAAAAGAAAATAGGTAAGTATTCTAAAATATGCAAAGATATTCTGAAGGATTTGCATCATATTCAATAACTTAGTTCTTTTACTGAAATGGGCTCTAAAATTAGCTTTAGAAAATAATTACTCAAATAGCCAAATGTTAATTGAATATTGGATGCTACAAAAATATTAAGGTCAGTAAATCACATAACAAGGTTTTTATCTGCAAATAATGAATGAAATGTTAAAATTGTGGAAATGAATAATGTTGCAGTTTTATCCAAATAATTATAGCATTTCTGAATGACAAGGCCCCTTAGCCATTCTCATATCTCAACTCATCAGCTTCTCTTCAGTACTCCTGGCATGTGATAGTTTTCATTTGATTTCTACCAGGAATTAAGGGGAAATTCACTACCATCCAAAAGCCATGCATCCCACCTTCAAATGTAAAATGTATCTGTCATATGTTTATCTCTGTTTTGCCTTTTGAAGCAACATTACCTTTTCATTGGCAGTTCTTAAAATATATATTTTTTAATTTTAACATTTACTTGTGCGTAGGTGTGGGGTACAGTGTGTTGTTTCAGTGCATGCATGTACTGCACAATGATTCACTTAGAGTAGATAGTATTGTACTCATTAGTTCGCCACTTCTCCTTCCACCTCACCCTCAACCAACCCTCCCAGCCTCTGGTAACCATTAGTCTACTCTCTACTTGTATGAGAACCTTTTTTTTTTTTTAGGTTCCACTTACAACTGATATCATGCGGTATTTGTCTTTCTGTGCCTGACTTACTTTACTTAATATGATGGCTTACAGTTCCATCCATGTTGCTGCAAATGATAGGAAATTATTTTTTTATAGCTGAATAGAGCTAAAAATAGATCAACCTTATGACCCAGCTATCCCACTACTGAGTATATACCCAAAAGAAATGTAATAAATATATCCGAAAGACACCTAAACTCCCATGTTCATCACAAAAGTATTCACAATAGCCATTAGATGAAATCAACCTAAATGGCCATTGACAAACGAATGGATAAAAACATCCTGTGTTGTATATACACAATGGAATATTATTTCTTAAAATATTTTAAGGTAGTTCTTAAGTGCCTCTACTAGGTCTTTATTCTATGTCTTTTAGTTTCTCTCTATTTTTTTTTTCCTCTTCTAGCTTTTTAAGAAGATTAATTAGATTTCAATTTTCTACCTATATTTTTATGGACTCTTGATCCTTTGCAAGTATGATTACAATCTTTTATTATCTATACAAATGAGCAAATACAGGCAAAAACAAATTAAATGATAGTGTTTTATAAAATGTAACCTAGACTTATTCTGTGATTTTCCTTGTTTTAACAGGTTTTAAAAGCAGATTTAGAAAAGAAAAAGAAAACCATGGACAAACTCTCTTCACTCAACCAAGATCTTCTTGCAACACTGAAAAATAAGTCAGTAACCCAAAAGATGGAAGCATGGCTGGAAAACTTTGCCCAGCGTTGGGATAATTTAGTACAAAAACTTGAAAAGAGTTCATCACAGGTTAGTGATAATAATTATCACAGAATAAATTATCCTCGAGGTTTTTGAAACCTGCATTAAGAGAGCAATACTATAGCCCTACAATGGATGTCAATAGATTGGTCATTGCCCAGTACTCAGTTGAGTGAAAATGTGGCTCTCAAACGTGTCTTGATATTGGAGAATGGGGGAAAGGTATAGAAATGACTGAACTAGTTATTGCCCTAAAATGTAATCCCTTCCAGTTCAATAGTAATGAGGAGGTGAGTAACTTAGAGCAATTGCACAAAATACTAGGAAACTGTATCATCACAGTCTAAACCCTAATCATAGATTCCTAGAACCATGAGGGCCATTAGTTAACCCCATTTTACATTTAGGAAAAATAAAACTTATAGAAGAAAAGTGAATTGTCAAGGGAAAATCAGTGGTAGGAACAGGACTAGGACCCAGGTCCTTTGAATTTTCTGATGGCTTCTTTTTATTAGTACACATGATATTCTAATCATTAGACTTACTTTCTGCCACAGATTTCTGATTTCATAAAATTAGAATGTGGCTTAGTTACACTAAACTATATGGGTTGTAGATTAGGAAAACATCTAAATACATTTGTAGTATAATAATATGGTTTTATTTTAAGAATTTTTAATGTTTCAGTAATTTAAAGAAAGGAGGATATTTTAGAAGTAGAAACCTTTGTTTTCTGATATTGGGTGGTGGAATAATGAGTAATCATTAAAAATATTAACATTATGTATAATAATATCTAATATATTATGCCACATACTTTTGCTCTTATGATAAGAGCTAAATTTTACTAACTGATCACAATTCATAGTTCAATGCACCATGCACGCACCTCTGTTAAAGTAATGACCACATTCAGTAGATTTTAGGCAAATATTTACTCTGTTTTGAGACAAGTGCAGGGAATTTGTTTTCTTGAGACTTGACATCTGATAAATAATACTTAGGAGATATTTGTCCAAAGATGAAAAAATGAAGTTGGAAGTATTGCTTCCAGAAATACAATTTATGAAAATATAATCAGCCAATATATGTGATTTTCAATCATAGTCAATCTTCCTTTTAAACACAAATTTCATATTTAAAATTTAAAATTTGAAAGAATATGAGTAGTATAAGTTGCAATTATTTCCCATATGGTCATTAGATAATAATGAAAACACCACTTGTTTTCCATTTAATATATTTTTAGTAGTTATTCTATCCATGATTTTATTACTAGATTATGATTCCTCTTAATATATGTGATCTGTCCATGGCTACTATGTGATACCATTGGTATCTATGCAATTAACAGATATGTGAAGCATTAGCAAGTCTGATACATTTAACCCAGCAATAATATTATTCCAATATGTACCTGTTAGTTCCATAAGGTATTACTACCATAAAATGGTCAGTTACCTACCATGTTAAGAAGGATTGGAATTATTTGATAAAGAAAGTGATTTTGAAACACATCCCTTTTAAAGGATATATTTATGAAGGTGTAACTGTTAAGCATAGGTCACGTTCTGGTTCACTTGCGTTATAGGCAGTGGTTCTCAAAATAGATCATGCATAATAATCACCGGGGGAGCTGATTAAAATGTGTATTCCTAGACCATTTGCTCAGAAAATCTTATTTAGTAGGCCAGGGGAAGAACTCAGGAATCTATTTTTACTAAGCCTATAATATGGTCTGCAGACTATAGTTTTAAAAGTACTGAATTAGAAAGACGATGACGTATGTGCCAATCCCCACATTCTGGTTTTCCACAATGATGCCTGAAATGGGAAAACCAAGACATTTCTAGGAATGCAGTATTTAAATATGCTCATTCCCTTGGAATGGAGCTACTTTATTATTATTATTATTATTATTATTATTATTGTAACATAGTTGATTGTACATATCTGTGTGGTATGGAGTTGAATATCAATGCCTGTGTGCAATGGAATGGAACTACTTTTTGATGAAGGTTGTGCATCTAATCAAAATGTTACTGATTTCGTTATTCTAGTTGGTGGGAAAGCATTAGAAGCCTTATTTTTTATGGCCTAAAAGTTATAAGAACACCATCTAGGCAATTTACCTAACCTCCTATTTTCCAACTTTTAAAACTCTGTAATAAAACAGTACTAGCTTTGATTTGTATAGTTTTTTACAAATGATGCCCAATATACATTACAACATGTATCTATTCTATGTGCTCTTTGGGATGTGAGGAGGATAAAATAAAGCCATAGACAGTAGACATAAAAGCATTTTTGAAAAAATAAAAGGTGCTCTTGATATGAAAGCATACTGTTTAGTGAGTCTGGAGGGCTTTTTGTGGTTCACTATGATTTCTTTTTATTTTTATTATCAAACGGTTATACGCTCCTACACCAGACCAGAGCAGATAAATAGCCTCATATTAGGCAAGTTGTTTCCCAGAACACTAAGTTTAAGCCTTTCTTAAGCTTATGTCTCAGTTTCCCCTTATTGGCTCTCCCAAAAGTATGCAATCATAGGGACAATAAATCTTTGCTGGGTTTCTTTGAGCTCCTAGGGAGATAGGAATAGAGCTACCCAGGGATAGATGGATTAAAAGGAGATAAAAAGAAGGAACAAAGAAATAGTATCTTATAAGTAAAAAAGCAATTGATTTTCCTTTGTGAATGTCAAATTGAGATTGATCAAAATTACAAAGGAAGAATTCTAAGAAAATTGAGGGTAAAGCTGTGACTTTGAAGAACAAAGATCACTTATATGCATATTTTCTAGCATGTTTGTGGTGGAAAAATCAGTCTCAATAATGACTACTCACATGATTCTCGATTGTTTAAAAAATCCTTCTGAAAGGAAGGATTGGTATACAGAACGAGCAAAGTTCTAGTAATGGTTAAAAACTTATTGTAAGGCAGGCTATAGAAATTGTGACTAAGATGACAACGCATTTGATTGTGCTCATGTAAAGAACATTGTGTGCCTGAGAGTTTGACTTCTATTCAGGTCAAAGCTTTGAGGGATTTTGACCTTACGTAGCAGTTGCATGGCAAGAGATCAAAACATGAAAAAAATAACCTATGAGGGCTGTTCTCTTGCATTTCAAAGTCAGTCTTGGCTTGAATAATATCTGGACACAAGCTGAGGATGTTTAAGTTAATGAGAAGGCAGCCTGAGCAAGTAGAAATACTTTCCATTTCCAAATGTTAGAAATATAATAGCTCTTACTGTATGAACGCTTACAATGAAAAAAAGGGCAACCGAAATGTACCATAGATTGGTTTCTTTAAGAACTTAAACGATCGTATGTCTGCCTCCAATTTTTTTATAAATATGCTGGTTGAGATTTACACAGTTAATTTTTTCTAAATGGCGTGACCCTGATGAATATATTTTTATCTTGATTATAATTATGAAATATGTTAGTCAGAAATTCATCATAGTTAATACTTTAAAATTAAATATAATTTAAGTGATTTGGTATATTATTTTCCCATCTAACTGAAATCTTATACACTGTGGAATGGGCGTATTATTCATAAGCTTTATAATTCATTATGGTAATTTATATTAAAATCTGGGCATTAGATGCTTAGATGTAACAATATATATATCCAGGTAAATCCAAAAGCTTTGTGTTTTTTTTGATTTTGTAACAGAGTAAATTATCTTCTTTCTTAGGAATAAGACAAATTCTATGACTCATATAGGTTCAAAGATCTCATTCCCATTTAATGAATATTTTGCACTATTGCTAACAACCATTTTTGCGATGTTCTCAACTATAAGCACAAATATCTTAAACATAAAATGAGTACATTTAGAATTCCCCTCTCCTTGAACTTGGCAGTTCATGTTCATGCTATGTATGTCTGAGACTGCATTCATGGGTGTCCAAAGAGAAAAAAAGTGATTATATATGTATCTATTTACCTACTCTATATCATTTATGTCCTGGTAAGAGATTTAAAACTCTTTCCAGCCTCATGAGTAGTATAAAACATGGCTGGAAATGATAAGCCAGTGTTTTCATTATACCCAGAATACAAATAGAAAGATGCAAAAGTGTTAAATGAAAATTTCTTTATTTGCCTTTCTTTTCTGAGTCCATTCTTATTTATTAAAGATCTTATTTTTTATTCTTTATAAAATATTGTATGTTCACATTCTGGCTGTAGCCATTCTCAAAGCATTGTTTTGTAGACCTATTGATACAAAAGATGTACTTACAATCAGTTGCCTCTCTCTCTCTCTCTCTCTCTCTCTTTTTTTTTTTTTTTTTTGGCCAGTGATTTTAATTAAAAATACTCTAAGGCCTTTCAGTTGACAACCTTCGTCATTGGTTCCTGAAAGCTCTCCAAGCCTAACAAGCCTGCTGCCAACTAAAAACAAACAAACAAACAAACAAACAAAAAACAAAAACATTAAATAGTTTCATAAAAACTGGAATTAAAATAAAATTTCCTCAAGTTTTCATCTTATTTAAATTCATAGATTAACCAACTTGAATTTAAGAGCATCTTTTGGTTAATTTCTCAAGTTAAACGTTTTATCAGAAAATTTTGAAATTACAGCTCAAATAACTATGAAAATTAACTATCTTTTTGCTACCTCCAACTAAAGGAGATATTTGAGAATGGACCTAGTATATCAGTTCAATAGGTTTTATGTTGTAAATTCATTATGTGCAACAACATAAATTGTTGTAGGCACTGAAAATGTAATAGATTAAGGCTGTGTTAACACTTGGAGTCTCTCATTCCTTATTTATAAAATGAAAACTTTATGCTAGGCAGATCTCTGTAGTGTCCTTTTAGTTCTAAATATCTATATGTTTATCTTCACTTGGAATTTTATGTAAAACTCTGGAATAGGTAGTGAAGAGATTCCAACGTACTCTGCTATATCAACCTTAGAGGCCGCTGGAAGATGATGATACAAATAAAATTCTCTTCCTATTCAAAGTAGACTGCCTTTTGAAATTATTACATTTCACTCATTATGAGTATTTAATTAAAAT